CTCCCTGAATTCTTCCTTCCACCTGGAACCATCCCGTCCTTATGTTTTGTATACAGATGCTCTGTGTGATATATTTTGGCAAAAAGAATTCTCTGTCTAAAAAGAAATCTGAAAAAATCACTGTTACACCAAAATGTTATGCTTTAAAAATACACATTATGGAAATAAGACTGAGCTAAGAAACAGAAAGAACTAATGATAGGTAACATCTTCAATCATAGACAACCTTTAACATTGTGAAAGGCTTTCTCCACCCGGAGTGCCTGCATTTCAGTCTTCAAAACTCTTATTGAAGACTTCAGAAAACTGAGTGATTAAACCTGATGACAGGATTCTTTAAAACCTTTCAGGACCTTTAATGTGATAGTTTGTACTAAGTGACCCTAAAATGTGAGAATTTATCAAATTAATTTGACCTTAGCCTTTCCTTGAAACTGCTAATGAATATGTCCTAGAACTAATTTTTCCAAGAAAAAGTGTTGTGTCCAAGGGTGGGGGAGACTATTCTAGTCATTCTCAAAATGTGGTTCAGGATCATCAGTTATGTGGGAATTTGTTTCAAATGTGTACTTTGGGTCCTATTTATTAAATCAGAAATTCTGAGGGCAGGACCCAAGCTCTGCAGGTTACTGAGACTCACGGTAAAGCATCCCAGTCAGAGCCATGAACATGAGTATTTCTGTTTTACACATAATAGTTCCTAAAGGGTCAACTGGGTCGACCTTTGTTCTGTAAATGTCATTATCCCTTTAGCAGACAATTATAAACCATCTTATCCCAGCTTTTCTTAAAACTCCTCAACAGTTTTGGTGGCAATTGGAGAAATGCCAAATACCTCGTCATAAAGGACAGGGGTCTAACTTACCTGACCTCAGCCCTGCCCACCTCTCTGTTGTTATCTTGTGCTATTTTCTCCCTTATTTACCACCTTCTGGCCACACTGGGCTGCACATTCCGGGAACAACATCTCAGGGAGCTTCTGTAACCCTCGCTAGAAGTCGCTTTCCGTTCTGCCTGGATCCTGCATAGGTAGCGCCTCAGAACTCAGGTCTCAGTTCCAGCGTCACCTCCTCAGGCCCACTGCCCTGGTCCTTCTCTGTAGGGCCCTGCTCTATTGCCTTCATAGCAGCTGTCACTCCCTGACGTGAGTTTGTCTGTCTGTAAGCTCCATGGATGTGTGTGTTAATAAGTGCAGTATCACCTAGATGGACAGAACCTGTGTGTGGAGCTCCAGGTTCTGGTTCACCATTTTCACACTGAGTTTGTGGGGAAGCTGAAGTCCCTCAATGTCCTTTTTGTCACCCTCATAATGAGGCTCACTTAGTTTGCTTCTTCACAAGATGAGCTTGGGTTAATGTCTCTTAATTAGCTATTTCTCAATAGGCCCATGCTCCCTCTGAAAGGCAATGCCTATTTCCTTAACGGCATTAAGAAAAATATCACTAATTAAATGACATTTAGAAAAATGTTAATAATAATGTAATAAGGTAATTTAAGGAATTAAATGAATATTTAATCTTTATTATAAAATATATCCTAAAGAATTTTTTTTTAATTTCCCCAAGTAAAAACACTGTTCTTTATGATCAGTTCTAACAGACCTTCCTCCCTGTAATGAAGAATAATGCAAGGAACATGCGCTTGTAGTAGGGACTGACCTGGTTTCCTATATGTGTAGCAGCATATACCACTGGTGACGTCGGCCGACTTACTTAAGCCCTCGTGATCCCAATCTCTGCATCTGAAACACTTGTGTTGCAATAAAGGACAGCACAGCAATCGTTGAGAATTAGATGAGATGTCGGTGAAGGTGACTGGGAAGAGCTACAACTTGCTGAGTCCTCATTCACAAAGAAATGTTCTTCTAAGTCCTTTAAATATGCTGTCTATTCCCTTTTGCTAGCGACAGATGGTGTTGTTCCCATTTCATGGGTAGTGAGACTCAGGGATTAAGTAATTTAAAACTTAGAAAACTATAAGCCTCAGAGATGAATTTCCAAGCTTAGTTCATCTGATGCACAAGTTCCTGCCCTTAACCAGCTCCTACAAGGCAGAACACGGGCCAAACTGCATGAAGAAGGTGAGAGCGTCTCCCCCCAGCACCCTGGTTAATTCAGTTTTCTGTGCCATTATGAGGAGCTGAGTGCTGTCTGCACTACTCTATTTCACTGAACATGTTTTTCAGTTTTATGTCCTGATGGAAAAATATCCCAGGGTTGAGAGAAAACAATTAAAATTATTGCAATGTGAAGGAGAGCTCACACAACTGCCTACCTAGTGTCTCATTACTTGCAGTTAGTCCTTTAGGAAGTAGCCCTTAAATACTGCATTCCTGGCTGATTAATTGTGCCACTTAATGCACCATAACAGGAAGAGCACAGCCTCTCTTTGAGGTCAAAACTATTCAGGGTCCAGGACTCATCTTTGCCACTGACGGTCCAACTGCACACACACTTGATGACATTTATAGGTATGTTTCCTCATCTACAGACCAGGGAAAACAACCGATTCCTTAGTGCCATGTGATACCCACTGCTTGGCACATTACGAACAGCAAGTAAGGTCAGCTCCAGTCTTTCCCTCACTTAGTTGCATGGCTTTGGTATTCTCTACTGTTTTATGCTAAGGAAGCATGGGCTTAAATTCTGGACTCAACGTTTTCTAGACTCCTCCTTGCAATGATGAAAGTCATACATTCACGTGAATGCCACATTTCCAGGTGGTCATCTGGAGAGGTGACAAGTTCATGTGAGGGACGAGAGAAGTCTGAGGACTCTGCTCTTACTGTCACTTTATGAGTCAACTGAGAAAAGCAGCTGCATTGTTTTATGTTACTTTAACACAAAGACAGCAAACATACATAATGATATTTTTATTATGCTCTTCACTGATTGACTTGAGTCCAAATGATCTTACTATTTCTGAATACCAAAATTCCCACAAAAGGATACATATTTGAAGTCAGGAAATACTTTAAAATACATAATGGTTATCCCAAAAGATGAATCCGAACACTGAATTGGCACAGGGGAAGTCATGAATATTTAAGTATAGTCCCTCTTGGTGATTGTTTTGAAAAGACCTTTATTTGAGATTATATGTGCAAAGCAGATTGTTTATTTTAAACACTTGTCTAAATATAAAACTTAGCTGCACAAAAATATTGCACGCAGTTCAACTGTATGTACTGGGTATTCCTGGTAAGCCAGAACTATTTCAGAAGCAACCCTTTAGATTGTTGTGTGAGAACTTTAGACTCCATGCTCCATCAGCAATAGAATTTGAGTGTGCCCCGAAATTTATGTAGCATAATTTCCTTATACATTATATACATACATCTTAACCATAATCATGTGCAGTGCCATGGTTTGTATATGTATCGCAAAGGCCTATGCATCAGATATTAACAGTCTAGCTACGAGGCTGTGGCACTCTTAGGGGTTCAGGAGGCGAGGCCTCGTGGGAGGTAGTTGGATGCAGACTCAAAGGGGATGCTGGGAGCCCAGCCCTCTCCTCCTCTCTCTTGGTTCCCAACCTCCATGAGATGAGCAGCTTGCTCTGTCACAGGATCCCTATACTGTGACCTAGTCACAGGCCCAAAGGCAGAGGGCCAAGCAATATGGACCAAAGTCTCTGAACTATGACCCAGAATAAACCTGTTCTTTCCTTAGAAGTTGATTATCTCAGGTATTTTGTCAGCTAACTTGCGGTCATGCTACAGATGAACATTTGTGTCCTCTCCAAATTCCTATATTAAAATTCTGGCTTTCTTTGTAACATTATAGGGATGTGGGGCTGCAGGGAAAGATCATGTCAGGAGGGTGGATCACTCATAAGTGGGGTAAGGGCCCTTATAAAAAGGCACAAGAGTTTGTTTTCTTCCTCTCTGCTCTCTAACGCACAAAGACATAGCAATCAGGCGTCTGTAAACCAGGAAGAAATTCCTCACCGTAACCTCATCTGCTGGCACCTTTATCCATTCCTTTCTAGTTTCCAGACTGTGAGACACAATTACATGTTGAAGTCATTCATCCTATGGCATTTGTTATAATAGTTAATGCAGAGTGAGGGTATGGAATTATAAAGTGTGTCCACCATGAGATAAGCACTACAGTGTAGTAAATATGAGGTAAAATATATGTTATTCATTTAGTTAAAATATTCATTTTAATAGTTTCTTGCCTCATCCCTGTAGATGATTTTGTACGTGCAGTACACTGGGCTAGGAATCTTTAGAGATGTTTACTGTGGATGACAAGTATGACAGAGGATCTAAGATTCTTTTGTAGATGTTGTTGTAAACAAAAGCATTTATATTTCACACCTGTTTCACAAGACCCATTACCTATGACAAAATAACAACTGTACAGAGGCACCGCAGTGCAGTGTAGGAACACATCCTTAAACATACTTCATCCTTCCTTGTCTAGAAGGCAAATCTTAACACAGATGCTGAAAACTATACATCGAGCTGACATAGGACAGTTTTGAAGAATATGTTTCTGGAAAGACAGTGCGACCCTTCTGCAGGTGTGGTACATAAAGGAACCAAAGTCAGATGCCACTCTGATGACAGTAAGCAAGACAGGCCAGCATGTTCTCAGTTGACTGGGTAAATAATGATCCTGCTGGCATCTATAGCAACAATCAGTGCACTAGACTGCCCCAAACAATTCCTTAAAGTTCTCCTGTTAGTGAACACTATTGTTTTAATTTTTTTCCATTAATATAATATTTTCTAAAATAATTACATAAGGGTATAAAACTTGGTCTTGATGCAGAAAACAGTCATTATAAAGAATAAAAAAGGAATTCGCTCTCTACTTAGCATTGTAAAATCTGCAGTTCTTGATACAGAACAATAAGCTACTAGAAACAGGTAATTAAGAGGATATTTGACTGCAATGACACAGTTAAAAGTAGTCTTAAATGGTCTTTGATTTTTGAATAAAATAAATTCCTAACATGATTTCTTGGAATAAAATGTCTTGGTTTCTTACCTTGCCATACTTCTGTGCATAAGACCCGGTGAGGAGTGAGTGAAAAACAATGATGGTTTCATCCAAATCCCAGACAAACACACGCTAAAGGCAAAAAAAAAAACAACATAAAAAATTGTGAAGTTTAAGGAAAAAAAAAAACCCCCAAAACACAAAATATCCTTCTCCACTGGTGGGTAGTGCCTTGTTACTCTATTATATAACATTATGCTATTTCATTATTTGTTCATTTTTAATGCACCAACTCCAACTATTATAAAGCCTGAGGAAAATAAGTAACACAAATGAGCATAAGTTTGCAAGTCAGAGCTACTTGACAGATTGAGGCAGGAAGACTGCTGAATACAAGGCTAGCCTGGGCGATTTAGAGAGAAACTGTCTCAACAAAGGGGCGAGGGATGTAGCTCAGTGCAAAGGCCTTGGGTTTCCATGCCATAAATAAGTGGAGAGACGGAAAGATCAGTTGATTGATACATATATAAAAATTAAGCAATGTCCTAATTTGAGTGAATTCACACATTTACTTGTAGTTAATACTAAAAATAAGAGACATATTCAGGCTTTATGATAAGATGTGTGCTTAACCTCTCTGAAAATTTTTATAGCTTATGGGTCCATGAAATATTTCAATGTATGCAAACAATTCAATTTTTAAAATATTTAAAAGAATCGAAGAGTCACCCCTAGACAGAAGCTGTAAGTGTGGGTCCTTGGGTCAGCTTAGGCTCGTAAATGTGTTGTTCAGCCCACAGAGAGTTTGGGAAGATTTCAAATTATTCACCAATTTCTAAATTAGATTTCATCAAACTTCACAGCAGCAGAGAACCTGGGGGTCTGGCTGTGCTGGCTGACAGCCCGAAGTGGCAGTGGCAGCAGGGTCACCGGAGTGGGCGGAACCCCTGACCCCACAGTCTGTGGGGCTCCCTAGACTGTCACTCATTAGATCACCGGTACAAGAAATTATTGCTCATGAAGAGGAATAATGTCTGTTAATAGTAAACATGGAAAGTGAATTCGTTTTCATCAAATGAAACACATGGTGATGAACAGAGTCTTCTAATATTTTTTCCAGTTTTCGTTTTTCACTAGTACAGTTCGCCGTACAGAATGATCACTTCCTCATGGAGAGTTGGTACCTGTACGTAACACAACCAATTCTTTTTTCATCCTCTTTCCTTGTCTTCCCTCTCCCTCCTTCCATCTCCTGATCACCTTCCCATGTGAGAAAGATTCATCTCCCTAGTTCCTATTATCTCTCTTTTATTTGCTCTTTATTTATATTTTGGGTTGCTCCTATAAGGGAAACTATGTGGTATTTAAACTTTGTGTGTCTGATTTATTTCACTTAACAGCCTAGTGTTTCATAATAAAAATCAATCTGCTTAGGGTGGATATATCTCAAAAGAGCTCACAAGTGCAAAAAAAATGACATACATACATTAAAATTTTCACAAATGTAACAATTTAACACCTATGGTGAAGGAATGACATTTTCTTCATTGTCAGAAGATGACTTTTCTTTTCCATACAGATTACTTTTATCACATCAAATATATTGACATGTACATATATGTCTTTCATTAGTTTAGGACTACCTAATAGAGTCTTTCTCACAAGCAGCAGCTTTAGTTTTGGAAATTCTGTTTGTGCTAATTTGGATAAAATATAAAATTGTACCAGGCCTAGAACTTGAAAAGTACTACCAGTTTTGAGCTGTTTTTATTTTTACTTTTGTCATGATAATGGCTGAACTTTCAGAGTTGTAAAATGCATATGACAAAGCAGATCAATTTGTGGTACATCTTTTTCAATTTCAATTTTGAAATATAACGGAACTATAAGGTATGGTATGTATCAATCAGTAAAATCAAGCATCATACTGGGCTCTTTCAGAACAAACAGGCATACCTCTAGGTCGCTGTCGGGAGGTGGGGAGGGGTTATTTTTCCGGCCTCTTCCTCGGGACTTTGATCCGGAACTCCTACATGTTCGGTCATCAAGATCTTTGATGGGTGTAGAGGGGCTCTGCACAGTATCAAACTCTCCTACAAATAATATGATGTGTCAAAAAGAGTACTTCACCCTTAAATCAGGCCTGAGCGTTCATTTAGAATTAGCTTAGCAAATTCCTATACATTAGAAACCTCTTTTTGAGAAAAATAAGAGATTTATAGTCCCAAGCATACAAAATTTTTAAATTAGTAAAATGAAGAAGGTCATACAAATCCCTCCTGGTTTTAATCTACATGTTTTTTACACCATATGGCTTCAACTTCCTGTCTATTCCCTCACGTGTATATTCACGTACATTTAGATCTATCCTCACTTCTTCCCTGTCACAGTTTAGAGGACAAGGTGTCTTCTTCTGGATCAGTCCCACCCCTCCACCTGCAAACTTGAGTTCTTAGCCCCACCTCTAAGGAAATTGTGGCCAATCAGTCAAATCCTTGCATCTTGCCTCCCACCTCCTCCTTCCTCTTGACTTTGCATTTCCAACTAGATACACTCTGCCTGCTATCTTTTCTTTCAAATGAAACTTAAAACAATGGTGCATACCAGTGCTGTCCAATGGAAATAAATGGGATCTATATATGCATAATTTTATGTTACGTAGCAGCTACATTTTATACAGTTATAAAAAGCATGTAAAAGTAGTTACCATATGTTCATTAATTCAATATATGCAAAATATCATCTCAGCATGTAACCAATATACAAATTAGCAACGATGTGTTTTGCATTCTCTTTTTTATACTAAATCTTTGAAATTGTGTGCGCATACAGAGGATCTCAACCTGCAGGACACATTATCAGTGCTCAACAGCCACAGGCGGCCAGTGGCTACAGTTCTGCCTAGCACAGTTATCTCCACTTCCTGGCATCCAATTTTTCATAACCTGGCTTCAGTTTGCCAAGGCTCTAAGCACTGAATTGAAAATTATGAGAAAGGCTTAGTCCTCACCATCCTAGATCTCTACTTGTGTTTGATCCTCTTAACCACCACCTCCTAGGAACCATACTTTGGTAGTGGATACCCTGCACTCCTCCTGGATCTAGGGTGTCACCAGCTCTTCTTGGTCTCAGAGACATGGATTCCTGTCCTTCCTTTGTCAGTTCTATAAACAGGAATTGAAGAATTCCAGCCTGTGATCACTATCCTTCCCAAGTCTACACAATCTGAGTGCTTAACTATCTCCTGGTCCATGACCATGTACAGGATGACTCATGCCTGAGTCCTTACCTCTAAGCAGACCGCATCTTAAGTTTAAGATTTCTTACCTAACTGGCTTTCATTTGTACAATGGATATCTAAAATTCTGTTACATCTAGAGCTAGTAATGATGCACCTTAGAGGTACAGAGTACTGAGCAGTGGCAAACTTTTGTGAGGTGCTATTGAGATAAACTGAGGCAACAGTGAAGTATAGTAAAATGCATAAATGTACCAGACTTCTTGCTTGACTTCCAGTGTTTCACTCAATTTCTCTAACGGGGGAATAGCAGCTACCATTTTGGATTACTGAGGGTAAATCAGGTTTATATATAATTTGATTTAGATCATATGTATATAATAAAAATTTCTAGGAGAGTCAGATAGCTAACTATACTGAATTTAAATTACACATATTTTAAACATTAAGATGTTATGACTATCATGCTTTACTATCAAGTTACAGTAAAACAATTCTCAGGGTGGCCAAGCAGTATTAATCTATATAAATAAATCGGAACAAGCTAAGCTCTCTTAGGCATTATATTTTCTGAGCCATCATAATTTTTACAAAGCACACATCTTATCATTTCTTTTGATTACAACATTTTATTTGAGAAACACTGCACATGACAGGTCAGGATCAGAGCAAAATATACTTTGCTCTAAGTACTGTCTGCTCATAAAATACAGTTAGCCCAGTTCATTGCATGAGTGTCTTTTTTTATCTCCTGTGTGAGAATGGATAGCACAGTAGTAAAGCTTTTTAGTGATGAGTTTGAGTACAGCCCTGTCATAAATTATATTTCAGTCCACTTGGATAATCATTAAATGAAGATTTTGATATCTGGACATAAAGTCAACTTTTAAATAAAAGCCCACAAAGTTTTTTTTTTCTACTTTAAATTACTTCTGAAACCAAATGGTTCTAAGTTTACTATATTCTGCAATTGAATGCTGTCCAAATAAAATGGTGATTCAAAATAATTCTCAAGTACTTTGGATGATATTCCATTAAAATCAATTTCCAGGTGTTACGTATCCTAAGATAACTTTGTTGTTGTAACAGCAAAAAGTGGAAAGAACAGGACCTTGCAATATCCCAATCGCTGTGATCAGTTGTGGGTGACCTGTTGCAGAGTGGACCCACAAAGAAAGAGATTAAAATTAATTAGCTTGCACCTGGAAAGACTGGTGTGGTTCCAGAGCTCCTGCTTTAACTACCAGGCTCTACTGCTCACCCCAAGCTGCAACAGATGCCCCAGATCACAAAAAAATAGAACCTACAACTATTTATCCTGAACAAGAGAACCATAACAGCGGACTAGAATGGGAGACAATATTTGGCAAACCATACATCTGATAAGGTGTTAATATTCAAATCATGTAAGAATTTAAACTACAGTGAGTTATTGCCTTATATTTGATAGAAAGGATATAAAAAGACAAAAATAACAAGTGTTAGAATGAGGAGAAAAGATAAGGGAACTCTTATATCCTTGGTGGCAATGTAAACTAGTATACCCATTATGAAAAACTGTTCAGTAGCTCCTCAGAAAATTAAAAGTAACATTAAGATCTTGTAACCCCACTATTGAATATATAACTAAAAGAATGAAATCAGTATGTCAAAGAGATATCTGGACTCCAGTGTTTATTGTAGCATTATTCATAACAGTCAACCTAAGTATTCAAGAAGATATGGATAGAAAAAAGAATATTTATATACAATGAAATACTATTCAACCTAAAAACAGAAAAAAATCTTTTAGTTTAGAACATTATGGATGGAACTGGAGGTATTATGTTAAATGAAATAAGGCAGGCACAGAAAGACAAAATTGCATGATGTCACTCACAAGTGAAGTATAAAATGGTTGACTTCATAGAAATAAAAAATGGACTAGTGACTTTAGGGTTGGGAAGGGGGTTTGAGGAGAGGTTAAAGAATATGAAATTTCAGTTAGGATGGATCTATTGTACAATATGATGATATTAGCAACAATGCATTGCAATTTTTGAAAATTACTGAGAATAGATTTTAAGTGTTTTAATCAAAGAAAGAACTTATATATGAGAGCTAATGCATATTTTTGACTCAATTCTGTCATTGCACAATGTAGGCACATTTCAAGGCAATGTGCTATGCAACGTGAGTATATACATAATTTTGTCAACTGGAAAAATTTGAAAAGTGTCATACAGACTATCCAATCTGTGTGAGAGAGGGGACCAAGAAATTCACTGAAAGAACTTAAAAGGAAGTAAAAGAGTGCTGCTGTAGTGGCAGAAGAGTATCTTGGTTTCTCCAGCCGTCACCCAGGTGCATTTTGTGTGCACCGCTGCTCCTTCTGAAGATGTGATCCTTTCTCCTGAAGGTGGGTGAATCGAGGAACCTGAGCTTAGCCGGTCATGAAACATTTGTCGACACTATTTATTTTTAAAGAGAAAGGTGTTCATTCTAGTATCCCTATAAAATTTCATTCAGGTAATTGCAGGAGGACAGTAATGCTGCAGGTAGGGAAAATGTAATTTGGCAAAATTCTGGGCAGTTTGTCCCCTATGTCTTCATCTTCCTGAGAGCTTCAGTGAGATGAGTTAGCACTCTGCTAAAGGCCACTGTTGTCTGTGTAAGACACTGGCTTTGCTACAGAAAGGGCAAAGAATGGCTGCTATCAAGAAATCAACCAATACCAACTGTTGGCGGGGTTTGGGGGAGAAAGGAACCCTTCTCCATTGTTGGTGGGAGTGCAGACTGGTGCAACTACTACGGAAATCAATATGGAGATACTTCAAAGAGATGGGACTAGAGGTTCCATTTGACCCAGCCATCCCTCTGCTGGGTATCTTTCCAAAAGAACTAAAAGAATCATATCACAGTGATGTATGCACACCCATGTTTATAGCAGCACAGTTTGTAATAGCTAAAACTTGGAAACAGCCCATTTGCCCATCAGTGGGAGACTGGATAAACAACATGTAGTTTTTCTATAAAATGGAATATTATTTAGCCATAAAGAATGAGAAATTAGATTCATTCATAGGAAAATGGATATATATTGAGGATATACTCCTACGTGAAATAAATAAGTCACACATGTGTAAATACCAAATAGTTTCTCTGGTGTGAATAAACTGTAATAGTACACAAGCTCCTAATGAGATAACTGACATTGTGAAATGGGAAGAAAAGGGCTAAAAGTATAGGGAAAGTGGGAGGGGTAGGGTAAAGGTAATAAGAGAGAAAAATTTGAGAAAATGAAAAAATGGAAATAAAGTGTTTGTAAATGGGGAGGAGAGGAGGAGGTGAAGGGAGGGAAGGGACAAGGGGAAAAAATGAGAACTAAGACTACCTGTCATGTAAAGGTACAAGACTGCAATAATGAATGTAACTGTACTGTATACCTAGAATGTACCAATAAACTCAATAAAAGAAAAAAAAAGAAAGGGAAGTGATTCTAGTAGACCTTTAACTTCTCTGGAGCCTTCTAAGATTCAATTAGCTAATGTTCCATAATGCTCCTCACTTTCTCAAGGTAAAGGGTAATATTGGTACAAATTGCTGACCACACTTAAGTTAAAATATATTTAAAATATGAGAAAGGATGAAATGTAAGAATATTTTTCATCTTCATGTGCTAATCCATTCTCAAGCTTTATGAATGCAAATCAAAAATATAATTTACCTTTGATAGACTTTAAGTTCAAGGCAAAGAAAGATCTCCAAAGTGATAATAAACTAAAATTTCTGTTTTTAATCAGCACAGTAGTGTTTCTTTAAATCCACTGTCAAAATACCTAATAAGGTAAAATACATAACTGAATGCTATTTGCAAATACATCAGTCATTACCAACTGCCCTAGGCTTTTTCTACATGATTGAATAATTATCCTCTAATCAGTACAGTAATGAATAACTGCCTCTTATAAGTTTTGGATATTTAGATCCAACTTTATTTCATTAGGTTTATCACTAAATCAGAACAACCAGCTGTCTCTTATTGACTATAAGGTATGTTTCTATTTAAAGGTGGAAGTTACCAGTGAATGTTCTATGAAAAACTGTGGACCCTAATTGTTAGGTCTCTGCAGTAAGTCCAAAATGTAGAATCAGTTAATAGGAGATTCTTTTCCTGCCCTTGAACTAAATCCATCCCGTTTCATCATTAATAAAAAAATCCCATAATTATAAACTTGTTTTCTTTTTGGGTGCATGCCAGCTCTGAACTACCTTGAGGAAAGGTCTGAGGTCACAGAATTCCTAAAAAACCCAGACATGTGGGTTGTTATGAATACAGTTACAAGTAGGACTTTATCTTTAAATTCAACAGAAAGTCTAATGAATTCTGAAAATTATGTCAAATCATATTTGTTGGAATTAGCAACCAGGGGAAGCCTGAAGAAAGCACAGCATTCTATCATGCACATGAGGATACCACATGTGAACATGTCACTCTCAAAGTCCCCTGCTCAGACAATCTAACTGTGCTGCATTTGACATTTTTAACATGAATAAAATAGCTATTCTGATCTTTCTTCAGTGATGCGAATTCACCATGTGTGTCTGTGCTGCAGTGAAACTTTCTTGTGATCATAAGTAAAGTGGAGCAAATCAATCTTGGACTAAAGCTCTATGTAGCACATACCATGTATCTGAGTGTACAAATGGTTTCCATACAAGGTAACTGTAGTCTAGGAACTTGAGAAACACCCTCCTGGCCCTGTCTGCTGTTCAGTCTCTGATAATGTGATGACAAACCCTTCTGTAGTTTCACTTCTCAATAGTCACTCTACCCACTTTTCCCCATGTATACATCATGTAGAGAAACCTTTCACTGCACGCTACAAGTGCGACAAATATCTGTGTACCTAAAGGATCTCTCGTTAATCAAGGATTCTCAAATCACTCAGTCTTTAAATTAAGGCCAGGATTCGCAAATCACTCAGTCTTTGCAAATCACTCAGTCTTTAAATTAAGGCCAGATTCTTGCTGAAATGTAAGTGTTGTCTCAAAGGGCGCCAGAGTAGCTTTGGAACATGTGATCAAGACTGAACAAATGAGGGAGACATGTAGGGCAGAAAATGTAACGGTCCTGAAAATGAGTGCCTTCCTTAATTTTGCAGTGTAAGTGTTTCACTGGCTGAGCCGGAGCCTAGTCCATCATAGGGTGCAAATGCTCAGGAAGGTTGAGGCTGTGAGAAAAGTCTAAACAGAAAGTCTTAGAGGATCTAGGATCAGGATTCAAAACAGGAGGAAGAATCCAAAAGGAAGATGATAGTAAAGAAACAGAAATATAGGTACAAACTACAAAATCGGACTGAAAATTGAGAATACTTAAATTTTTAAAAATTTTTTATAGTAAAAGGAATACTGCCATCAATTCCCTTCATAATACCTCCCCTCAATTTGAACACTTTGATTCCGTTGTTCTTGTCACTTCCTGAAGAAGTTCTGGAGGTAATCTCTTATTGAGTGTCTCTAGGTATGCTACCAGGGCTGCCTAGATGTGCTAAATGATTTGAACTCTTTACCCTTCACAGTCATTTTGGCTTTGGGAAAGAGCCAGAAATTGCATGGTGCAAGATTTGGTGAGCGGGGGCAATGAGTACATACTGTAATATTTTTATGAGCCTCCCCGTCTATTGGACAGGACTTGGAAGAAGCATTCACCATAGTTTTGATCACATCTTGTAAAGACACTTGTGAAAGAGGACGTCCAGAACTGCTTCAGAAAGTGGTAAGAACAGTGGACAATGGGATAGGTGAGGGGAAATGAGGGAAAGTATACTGAGGAGGATTAATGTGCTTTTTACTGTAGGAACCTGTTTATAATTTAAACACACACGCACACACACACACACAATGTATATATATGTTTATCTTCCTTTGTATAACTTCTATACTTTTTTCTTGGGTCCATAGTTAAGGATGATACAATGGTCTCCCCTTAACTGTGGGGGATATATGCTGGGATGTTCCACAGATGCCTAAAACCATAGATACTACTGAACCTCACATATACTATAATTTTTCCTACATGCAAATACCTAAAATAAAGTTTTAGTTATGAGTTAGGTGGGTGAGAGATAACAATAGAAAATAATAAAATAGAACAAATCTAATAGTAATCTGTAATGAAAATTATTACAATTTTATGATTTATGTTTGGAATTTTCCACTTAATTTTTGGGGGGCCAAGTTGACCATGACTCATTAGCCCTGCGAAAAGGAAAATACAGATGCAGGAGTACTATTGTCTTTTGCACAGGGAAATAAAAATAATAGATGTTACCACTTCAGCAATTCATGATATATGCATACCTTGTCTATTGCTTAAAAATTGCTTTTATTGTCACTCCTTTATATTTGAATTAGTTGACTTGTTAATAGTCACCATATTACCTAGGATTTTCCTGTCCTCAAGACTCACCACCATTACATGCATTGGCTTGATCTTTGCCTTGTTTGTTAAAGGAAACCAAAGCACGCAGAGAGTGCATTGATGCATGAAATATCAGTGTTCAGGACAGGTCTGGGACCTAGTAGGCACTCTACAAATAACTGTTTAATAATCGAATCATCTTTTCCCTATTTGTCCAGTTTTAGAAAGAATTTACATTATTGTGAATGTGTTTCCCTACAGTCTTTCCCTTATAAAGCTGGATCAAAAGGATAGATGATTTTGAATACTGCAAATAACTGAGGTCAGAAAAACACACATGATCATATCTATAATATTACAAAAATTTTTAGTCTTTTTTTACTGATTTTTGAGAATACAGTTTCTGGTTTATAAGTCTTGTATTGGATATGGATGATACGATATCTTTTCTCAAGCTGTGGCTTGTCTTATTCTTGTAGCACTATCTTTCAAAGGGAAGTTCATAGCTTTAGGAAATCTGACTTATTTTTCTCTTCTTTTCTTTTTCTCTTCTTTTTTCATCATTAAATCTATAAAAGCTTTATCTTGCCAAGAGTCACAAAGATTTCCTCCATGTTTTTCTTCTAGGTGTTTTTGAATTTTAGCTTTTATATATATGCTTATGATTTATTTTTAGTTAAATTTAGTATACAAGTAATGTTACATTCTTTTATGGGCTTACCCAGATTTTCTAGCACCTTTTATGGAAAACAAATACTAATTCTCCAATTTTCTTGGCACTTTGGTAAAAAATTAGTTTTCTAGTACATGTATGAACGAGCTTCCAGACTCTTCATTCTTTTTCGTTGTTCTATGTATCTATCTTTTTGCTAATACTGCTTTTTCTTAATTCCTATAATTTTGTATATCATGAATTCAGAACATGTGTTTTCAAACTTTCTAAAACTGTTTTAACTATTCTAGCTCCATTATCTTTTCTTATAATTTTAAAGTCATCTTTACAATTCCTCCAAAAAGTTTGATTTGGAGTTTGACTGAGATTGGGATGAATCTCCATTAAATTTGTTTTTAAGTATTACAGCTGTGCTGAATATGCACAGCAAATACAATTCTAATAAGAATAAAGCAAGCGTCAGAAGAAGAAAACGAGAAGGAATTTTAAATATGCACATATCAGACAGAGGAGATGTTAAGCTTCCTACTATTGATCCTACAAAATTTAGGATTGCAGGAACATTGACTGACTAGATCCACTGATGTCTCAGGGATGAAGGAGCTAAACAGCATCTCAGGCATTAGGAAATATTACTAGTCAAAGAAGACAAAATTCCACATTCTACTGTGTCGCTAAGTGTTTCAGAAAGTAAAGAATGGGTCTGGCAAAGCTCTATTTACATTTTGAGATTAAAGTCTCTTACCTGTCCCACATCTAAAAGAACTTTTCATCTAAAAGCCAGAAAAACCTCGTTTTATGCAGAGAAATTAATGCAGATTAATCACAGGCACAATTATCTGGACCTTTTAGGCACGTTTGCTCTTTGTGACTCAGTACCACAAAACATTTTAAACTACGTCATCGGGGTGAAGATCTGTACCTGGTTGGGTAGTCAGCCCCGGCAGAGATTCTTGCAACTGATAAGTGGAGGTTGATGATGACGTGCAGTCGGCGGTGTTATTTGACGTCATATACGCTCCATACGTTGATGCTGAGTAATACTGTGCATACTGGTTTTGGCCAAAGGCTGTATAGGATGGATAATCCTGAAATAATAATTGAGATGTGTATGTTTGAAACAGAAATTATCTTCTGGTAAGCTAAAAACAATCTCTATGGTAAATGAAAGATTATTATTCAGCTCCATTTGTTTCAGAGTTGTCAGCTTTGATGTGCTTTCTCCTAGTGAGTGAAGACTATTTTGCAGACATTTTGTATGTACACAAAGTAATGAACTTCTCCATTGCCTTTGCAAGCCAGGTGCAGTACAGATTTCAAGTTGCCTAATGGTAACATGCACTTCATCCCCTACCTCCATAGTTACTTATCCAAGGGCTTACGTTATTGAGATCCATCCACTGAGGAGAAAAGGAAAGAGGTTCATTTTTGAGAAATTGATTTTTATCTATCTCCTAAGCCCCCAGCAAGGAGCTATGGCTGTTTCTCTCAGCTTCTACAAAAAGCTGTGTGCACTTTTGAAACCTTTTGTTTTCCTTCTAGACTACCCATGATAGTTTCATTTTCTTGGCAGGAGGTACAGAGTACATAAATGCAGGTGATTAAAGAACTTTTTTTTTAAACCCAGTCTTAGTCTTTCACAACTATGTGCTACCTGAAGACTTGATCTAATCTCCTGAAGGAACTGTTCAAATATTTAGTTTTCTCCTTTGTTACAGACAAAAATGAAACCATTGGATCAACTCTTCTGACCTGTTTTTCATTAAAATATTTTTGAAGAGCCTTAAAATGATAAGAATGATCCCTCTAAATATTTTGCATATTACAATGATGGGTAAGGACTTGTTATGATAAATGGTGTTTAATATATCTGCCATGTTTTGGCTCAAAAATGTTATCGATGATGACAAATCTTTGGTCAGGATTGAGATTCCCTATTGTGAAAAGATCAGAGGGGAACAAAGATCCACGTTTGGTGTGATTTCAAAAATGGAAATTCTCTGAATGTGTAAATATGTATGTTATCAGAAAGGATTAAGTAATATGGCAGAAAACCAAAACGCTATTAGTCTGTTAATTTCTGGTTCTAATGCTTCCTACCACTGTCTATGAGGCAAGGGTAAAATCTCATCAATATTTGAACAGTTCCTAGCACACATTATTCTCAAAGTCAACCGTGGTAGCAAACATGTATGACTTTGTATCAAGGTATTCTTCTAAGGGCTCAAATGGACTTGCTCATTTAATCATCACCATCTTACACTGGAAAAGGCTGAAGCTCAGAATGATTAAGTGATTCGCATAGCTATCGCCTAGCTGACCCCCTAGCTGGTCACACAACTAGTCATTTTCTGAGCTGGAACCGTAACCGGGAATCTCAATGCAGCATTGGTGTGCTGAAGCTCCAGGCCAGCCTGCTAATGCAGAGGGAAAGAGAATTACACACCGGAAAGGACCCCTAGTCGCTGCTTGAAACACACCTCCAAAACTGCCCCTTCTCCTCATCTCTACTCTCGTCATTCCTGGCTAAGCTTCTACCTTTACTTCCTGTTGCAGGCTATATAATCATTTTGTAATGTAGCTCCTTGTTGCCGTTAGTTTTTATCAAAGATACTGAAGCCGGAATAATCTTTGCCAAATACCAACTCTAGGACTCCATTCTCCTGCCAAAACCCTTCAACAGCATCCTACTGGGCTTGGAACAGTATCCAAAGCCTTCCTGTAACTCACAGGTCCTCATGTGAGTAGGCCCCGCCTACCTCTCCACCGTGACCTCCTACCACCCCTTGCACCGACTGAATTCCAGCTCTCCTAGAGCACAATCCCGTACCTCAGGAACTCTCTGCTTCCTTTGCCTCAAAACTCTTGCTTTCATTCTTCACCTAACTCTGAGAAGTCTTGGCTTAAATATTGTTTCCATAAAGCAGGCTTCTATGGACCCCACCCTGAGCAGAATTAGATATCTATTAATATTTTCAGTAGGATCTTGCTCTCTCCCTTCACATATGTTCACTGTCTGCTTTTCTTTGTAGGCCATAAGTCCCATGAAGTCTGGTACAGACCTGACACCACCCTTGTATCCCCATGTGAGACCAATTCCTGATTCTTAACACATACTCAAGGCTTGCTAAAAGGGTAAACTGCCACTTAGACCACCATTGAAAGTGTAAATTATATTCTATTCCAGACCTACTCTTAAATCTTCAGATAGAGCTGGATCACATCTATGCTTATGTTTTGGAAATATGTTTTCTTGCCCTTTATGAATTTTTCTTTGATCTTCCAAAATAGAATAGAGTAGTATTTCCTCACCCTACCTTGTGTCTAGAGTATAGTTCTATTATTACATTCAGTATATTCTACCCTCTTCTTTTTAGAAAGACTGTGTCCCTTGAAAAAGCAGGAAACAACGACTGTCTTTGAATTTTCAATGCCTAGTTCACAAATTTAATGTACAGCAAGTGCTTAATAAATCTATGCTGTATCAATAAATAAATGGTGGAATTAATCTATCAAACATTCTATGTTTTTAAAATAATATATCTATCTATCTATATATATATATATGTTGTTTCTGATGTTTACTGATTCAAGGTATTATTTTCCTGCTTCCAAATTTCAGTTTAATTCTATCAGAATATTTTAATTCCACACTATGTTAATAATCCAAATTTCCTCTTGGCCTTGGATTATGTTAATAAAACCACAAGAACAAAATTCAAATTGTTTTACTATATTACAGAACATGCAAGCACTTGTGCAGAAGCTCAACATTTTAAAATATCTAAAGGAACAGCAATGACATTAAAGTAATTGTTCAGTGAAATAAATCAAACAGACAAGTTTCAATACTGCATGCATGGTTTCTTTTATATGAGAAATCCAAAGTATAAATAAAGAGAAAAATGAAGGGTAGAGAGTAGAAAACAGGGAGACAGGAGAAGGGGAGGGGGACTAAACTGTGGTGGAGAGAGGAAGGGGAGATGCGTGGAAGGGGAACCAAAAAAATTAAGGCGTGCTGTGCACATGTATCACGATGTGGGACCACGATTAAAGCAATCATCATGCACTGCAAATACGTACAAATAAAAATTAAAATAAAATGTAAACATTAAAAATACAAAGTAGTGCCCTGCCTGTCCAGAAATCAGCTACCCTTCCTTCTCTACTATGCTGAACATGGTTGAAAATCAAGAAGTGAAAACAAGATTCTGAGATGCCAACACCAGCCACAAATTCATCTCTGTGCCCAGTGCCTTACTCAGGGACATTCAGTCTCGCTCTACACATACTACTGACAGGCTGGATGTAAAAACTCATGAAAACAGGAATAAATTCAAATGGGGGGAGGACCAGGACCTAAAGGCAAACTCAGTGTGTAAAGCAAAAAGCACAGGTATTAGGGAAGTAAAAACCAAATACTTGGTGAAAGACTCATAGAACTAAAAAATAAAACAATAACATTAAAACCCTAGAATTGATAGGAAAGGAAGAAGTTAAACTATCATTATTTGCTGATGATATGATACTCTACATTGAAGATCCAGAACACTCCACCAAAAAACTTCTAGACTTAATTGACAGATTCAGTAAAGTATCTGGATACAAGGTGAATACCCAAAAATCAATAGCCTTTCTATACACAAATAACAGACAGACAGAAAGAGAAATAAGGGGAAAAAATTCCTTTTACAATAGCATCCAAAGAAATGAAGTATCTAGGAATCAATCTAACAAAAGAAACAAAAGATCTCTACACTGAAAACTACAGCACTCTGAAAAAAGAAATCGAAGAGGATATAAAAAAATGGAAAGATATCCCCTGCTCCTGGGTAGGAAGAATCAACATAGTGAAAATGGCCATACTACCGAAACTGCTATATACATTCAATGCAATGCCAATTGAAATTCCAACACTATATTTCACAGAACTGGAAAAAAGAATCCAAAAATTCATTTGGAACCACAAGAGACCTAGAATAGCAAAAGCCATTATAGGCAACAGTCACATGGCACCAGGTGTAACAATTCCCAATTTGAAACTATACTACAAAGCCACTGTGATAAAAACAGCATGGTACTGGCAAAGAAATAGGCCTGAGGATCAGTGGAACAGACTGGAAGACACAAAAACAAATGCAGATGTACTCAGCTACCTCATCTTTGACAAAGGAGCTGACCATCCTCAGTGGAGGAAAGATAGCCTCTTTAATAAATGGTGTTGGAAAAACTGGATGTCAACCTGCCACAGATTAAAATTAGACCCTTATCTTTCGCCATGCACTAAAATAAAATCCAAATGGATTAAAGATCTAAACATTAAAACAGAAACATTAAACTTGCTGGAAGGTAAGTTAGGCAGAACTCTGAAAGACATTGGTATAGGAAAAGACTTTATGAACAAATCCTCAGTAGCACGGGAACTAGCAGAAAGAATCAACAACTGGGATCTCATATTACTAAAAAGCTTCTGTACTTCAAAAGAAACCATCAGCGGAACTAAGAGACAATCTACAATGTGGGAAAAAATTTTTACCAGCTGTACCTCAGACAAAGGACTATTATCAAGGATATATAAAGAACTAAAAACAATCAGTCCCCCCAAATATAAAGACCCGATTCAAAAATGGGCATCCGAAATGAACAGACATTTCTCATACAAAGAAGTAAAAGCAGCAAGAAAATATATGAAAAAATGTTCCACATCACTGGTCATTCGAGAGATGCAGATGAAAACAACACTGAGATTCCACCTCACCCCACAAAGAATGGCTGCTATCAAGAAATCACACAATAACAAATGTTGGCGGGGTTGTGGGGAGAAAGGAACCCTCCTCCATTGTTGGTGGGAGTGCAGACTAGTGCAACCACTATGGAAATCAATATGGAGATACCTCAAAGAGCTTGGACTGGAGGTTCCATTTGACCCAGCCATCCCTCTGCTGGGTATCCTTCCAAGAGAACTAAAAGAATCATATCACAGAGAAGTATGTGCACCCATATTTATAGCGGCACAGTTTCTAATAGCTAAATCTTGGAAACAACCTATTTGCCCATCCGTTGGAAACTGGATAAAGAAGTTGTGGTTTTTCTATAAAATGGAATATTACTCAGCCATAAAGAGCGAGAGAATAGATTCATTCATAGGAAAATGGATATATATTGAAGATATACTCCTAAGTGAAATAAATAAGTCCCACATGTGTAAATACCAAATAGTTTCCCTGGTGTGAATATTCTGCAACAATGCATAAGATTCTAATAAGATTACTGACATTTAGAAATGGGAGGAAAGGAGCTAAAGGTGTAGGGAAGGTGTGATACATAGGGGAAGAACAAAAAGGGAAAAGAAAAAAATGTGAGAGAATGAAAAGATGAAAATAAAGTGTTTGTAGATGGGGAGGGGAGGAGGGGGTGAAGGGAGGGCAGAGGTAAGGGGAAAAAATGAGAATCAAGACTTGCCATGTAAAGGTACATGATCCCAACAATGAATGTAACTGTACTGTATCCCTAAAATGTACCAATAAACTCAATAAAATAAAAAAAAAAACCTAGAATTGAAAAAAATAATACTATTGGAAAGCTAACAGTATTTCCGCTAGCCAATGCTATCTTTTTGAACTGAAAACGTCTTGTAGTCTACAGGACAATCCTATAATTGATTATTATTCAGTTAATTAATATTTGTAGTGAAACCTGTGCTGTATCAATAGTAAAACTGCATTTAGGAAAGTTTAAGGTAACAGTAAAGTATGCAATCTATTTTATAATTATATGGTACATGACTGCAAATTAAATGTTTAAAGGACAAACTTTTTTTGTTTTGTGTTGTTTTGTTTTTTGAGACAGGGTCTCACTATTGTAGTTCAGACTGACCTCGAACTCACTATGTAGCCCAGGCTGGTCTCGAACTCACAGAAATCCTCCTGCCTCAACCTCCCGAGTGCTGGGATTACAGGCATGCGTCACCACACACGGCTAATGGACAAGCTTTTAATGCTAAAGAAATTGAAAAGTTAATAAGAGATCCCAAGAATGCTTGACAGGTAATTTTGGGCTATCTTGAAATGCCAACTTAATTTTAAATAAAGAAACATAATTTTTATAGAATGTATTCTCTTTTTTTTGCAAAATGTACATGACAACTTGAAAGTATTCTTCAAAAATCTGCATTGGATATGAGAAGCATAAATATAAAGCGCTACTATACCTGTTGTGAACCACTGAAACTTGTTGAATTCGAAACTGAATTATTTGCATAAATAGTAGACGATGGTGCAAAACTAGAACCTGGAGGTAAAGAACAAATTGCATTTTAAAAAATTTCACATAATTCAATCATAGGAAAGCATGGAGTTCTGTCATTTACAACAACATGGTTAGAAACTGGAGGATATTATTTTCTTTTACGGGACACAAGTCAGGTCCAGCAAGACAATTACACACGGTCTCACTCATTTAAAGAATCTAAAAAAAGTTGATGGCTTAGAAGATGAGAGGAGAACAGTGGTTGTCACAGGCTAGGGTGAGCAAGGGTACAGGAGGATAGAAAAAGGTTGGTCAACAGGTACTGAGTTACAGATAGCAGAAGGTAGTTCTGGTGTGATGATGCCCAGTAGGGTGACTATAAATAATGAGGTGTTATGTGTTTTTGAAAAAGCTAGAAGGATTTTGAATGTTTTTATCACAAATGACATTTGAAGAACTGGGTTGGGATGATAAAGAGTACAGAGGATATTTCAATTAAAAATTACAGTAAAAGGCACATTGCCATGAATCACTCTCAAAATACTCAAAACGCTCTTATCCCATTGCTGTTGACAATGTGTTTTTAAAAAATGAAGTATTCACTGACTATATTTTTTGAAGATCCCTTGTGTTTGTCTTGTTTCAACATTATACAATGTATACCTGTATTAAAGTATTTCAGGGTACCCTATAAGTAAGCATTTATGTATAAATTTGAAAATAATACATAAATAAAATTTCTACACACCCCCAAACCAGTTCTTTTTTGGTAAAATAATGCAAATATCTCGCTTTGCATAATTCAGTAAGGAAAACATATCTTGAGTTTTGTTTTGAAGGCAGTAATTCTGAAGTTGAGAGATTTACAAAGTAAGTGTGCAGAGCTCTGGCACTTCCTATGACTGCTGGTAAGGCCTTTCCTGATGAAAGTGCTGGGCTAACCAGAAACAAACAGAGACAGTCTTCCCAAGGACTGAAGCTAGAGTGAAAGTCTAGAAGTATAGGGGAACTCAAAGGATAGAATACAATACAGGCTGAGACTTTTCCAGGAAACAACTAGAACTTTCAAATCAATCGCTTCTCAGCCTTTTGGCTAAGATCAAAAGTAAAACTTTCACATCATACCCACTGAATTTGCATATGAAAACAAGTAGAATATTCATACGGAGTCGTTATGAAATAAAAGGAAACGAACACAGAGATTCCTTTTAGAACTGATGCTGGCAGCTTCTACTCTTTCATTCTTCTATGTTCTTCCCTTGGAACTAGAGTTGTGAATTCAGGTTCACAACTGAGGAAGCACCGTTTACACGAGTCTAAGATTTGAGGGTCTTATAAAACTGCAAAGTCTAAAATTTAATCATTTTTCACAACCTTGAAAAACAAATGAAGGTAGATTATGATTATAAATTTTTCTCCTTAAATATGTCCTTATTGGTAGTGTGTTTTCAGGAGTAAAATGAAACACAAGAAGGCCACTGATTATGTTGTATCAGCATGTCCCGACTACCAACATGGTATGTAATCAGTACAATTTGTTTGGCCTGGACAGACAGTAAGATAACATCTGGGGGCAAATGAGACTTTTTTTAAGCTTGCTGTCATACTGCTAATTGAGTCTCTGTGGCTCACTGTAGTTACACAAAATGTGATCAAGCAATACAGTTAACATTTTACTTTAAAAATGTATTATTGTAAAAGACACATTGCTTCTAATCTTCCTCAAAATGCTCCCCTGGCTTTGAATACATTTATTCCATCATTCTGGCCACTTTCTGAAGGAGTGCTCAAGCCCTCTTTCCTAAATATCTTTGGTGGCTTTGTGTGGCTGCCTTGATGTTCTGAATCAAATATTTATCTTTCTTGGTCAATTTGACTTTGGAGAAGAGCCAGAAGTTGCACAGTGCCTGAGAAGACTAACGAGGACACACACTGTAATGTTTTTATGAGCCTGCCTTTTTGTTGGATGACATTTGGCAGCAGCATTCACCATATTTCTTTTTTATCACAACTCATAAAGACATGCACCTAACAGCATGTATGGAAATATATTTCCACTTCTAGGTAAAATGAGCCATAAATGTCTTATGTTTAATTTTAGTCAAGTGACTAAAATGTCAATATGTTAGTTCAAATATATTAATATAGCATAGCCCCAGATAAGTTACTAACAATTTAGATATAAAGACAAATAAGAACTAGTTTTTAATGTTTTAACTATGTCATTGAAGGTCTTTCTGCCAATATTACATAAAGATCACACATAATTTTTAACAGGAGTCAAAAATGAGAAAAAATTTTCCAATGTTTGTATACGGAGGATAGTAGGGGACATATAAATAACCTATTAAGAAATATAATATCAACAGGAAAAAGTTATTTTAGGGATAAACAAAGCCATCAACCAATGCTAATTATAAGTAAGAAAAGTGCTAACTTACTTTTACATACAATAACATATTTCAATCAAAATAGCATTACATTCTTACGGGATATTCAGAAGACAATATTGCTTTCTGCTCTGAATCTTCTGGACACTCAGCAAACATCAAACGTATAAATGACTAACCTAGTGTTTGTCTTGAAAGTTGCTTTGTTTGGACTTGATTTCCTGCTGATGTTATGCAGCTTAAGCTCAAGCATTCACATCTGGTATGAGTCACGTTTCTCTACCTATATTCAACTATTTTCATATTTCTGCCTGGTTGTTGGTCTTATGTGAAGAAATTGTGTAAGCAGTGGTAAGATTTAACAGTGTGTTTAGGATCAGCTATTTCTTAGGCTGCTGCCATGGAGTCCTATGCAAAGAACTCGTTCTAACAGATTCCGCTCATGGCCGCTTACCTGGCATTTGGTAAGAGTAAGGTGTCTGGCCCGGTTGTGGGGTCGAAAACCCTGGGCTGTAACTGAGGCAGCCACTCTGCAATGGTGACTGAGTTTGGGAAAGGCCACCCTCAGTCTTGATGGCTGGCAACATCACACCCAGATCTGTTTTGAAAATGCATGTGCAAACCAGTTAATTAGTAAAATGATCTGTTGAGCACTTACACTAGAATATAAAGCTACTAGTCAGCAGGATTACCTGCTAATAACCAAGGAAGAAGAGAGAGATGGGAAATACCGTAAGTGGGCAGGCTGTAGGGCTGTCCGGTCTGTGAGTAGGCTGTGTAGACGGCGGGCTGCTGCATTCCTGAATACTGAGTCTGGCCCGCGTAGGCAGACATTGTTTGAGCTGCTGGTGTAGAAAGAATGTGTGGATAGGGCCTAAATATCAGAAAAATAGCATTACTGTGGCAACAAAGACTGCATATTAATTCAGACAGCTTAGATTCAGTGAAACCCTATCATATCCAGGGAATAATCTTCCTCTTTATCCACACACACAAATAATGTTAAAGATAGAAGAAAGAGTTTGAACATCAAGAGTCCGAGCTCCACTACAAACCTTTGACAAATAATTAAAACTTCCTAACACTATATCTCATCTTAAAATGAGAAATTTGGTTTAGTTGGCAACTGAAGTCACTTCCAGCTGTAGAACTCTTGTTTACATCTGAACCGGCAGTCCAATTAATATCCAGGCGAACAAAATTGAGCACACGAATTACAGTAACGTGCTCAGAAGTGTATTTATACTCATCACAAGTGAATGCTAGTATACAGTAATGACAAAAGTCTATCTAAAAGGCCTTCCAAGAGTTCACTATCAAAAATTGGAAATCTTCAAAAAAAAAAAAAAAAGGATTCGTCCTGGGAAGAAATGGAATGTCATGCCCTGTATTATTTCATGTTCCATATAATGTTTCTAAGGAATAGCCAATCCTAGCCTATACTTACAGACATTCTCTATGTTGCAGAAAGTCATATTATATTTCAGTGTGTACGTATCAGGAAGGTAAATTTTTGGCACATCTGGCTGATCCCAAACAAATTTAGATGCACAGTCAATATAGTTCAATTTGAAACATCTACCACGTTTTAAATACGTTGACGTTAGTTACAAAAACAATAAAGCATATTCTTCAAAAGTGTTTTTATTATCACTTGGAATCCAATACAAACAGTTCAATGATAGAATGAATTATGAAGTGTTGAATTGGGCAAAATGTGATCTCTTCAGATTTTCTTTAAACTAGTAAGCATTTTTTGATTTTCATTAACAATAATGTATTTTGGCATGAACTTGATGATTTCCTCAAAGTACATAAGTATTCAGAATAAAAGAAATTATCCATAAAAGTCAAGTCTTTATTTCTATTTTATATATTTACTACCATGTCTAATCTATCCATCCATGTAGAGAACCATGATATATGTATATGCATAAATGTTTTTCCAATTTAAAGTTGTGAACATAGATTGATACATGTAATTCCAGGAAACTATTCTAATAAAATGGACTCTGTTTTCCACTTACTTGGATGGGTACAGCTGAGGGGAGTACTGATGCGCTGACCGGGGGCTGTAGCCACTACTCGTTATTACTGTAAGACACAAAAACCAGTGCACAAAAGTTGCATCATAAACACATTTCATTGGACAGTTGACAGCCAATTTAAAGGAATTGCCAGGCTAAAAAGGTCTTTCTAAAATATTATTCATTTTCTAAAAAATTAAATCAACTCATTTTTCTAAAAGTAATATTCTAAAAAGAAACAGCTCTCTAAAACCATTTTTTTCCAAATTCAACTGCTTCTACTTTTGCTCTAGGAGCCAGAAGTGAACATTTCTCTCACAAATCACTGTATCATTCTTTGATTTTCTGAAATCGCCAGCAAACTCTTATGTAATTGATCGACTGGGAATAGCTATCTTTGATCATAAAGTAATTCAACTTTCATGATATAAAAGTAAATTTTTAAGTCAATAATTTTAGAATTAGTTCCAAATACTGTGGCAATATGTTATATTCATATTTAATCTAATTAAAATCTAATCTAAATTTTTAAAAATTTGATGTTCTGACTTTAATTTCCTAATTCTAAACATGCGATTGTTTTCTATTCCCTTTCATTTTGCCAATCAGATTTGGTTAAAAATATAGTATGCAATACAATATCCTAGTAACAGTAATAATTGTCAGATACATAGAAAGCATGAGTGATACTGCAATACTTTATTTTGCACATCATCACAAAAGGCAGTAGCAATCATATTTACAAAAATATTTTGAAGGATAAGATAATAATTTTCTGAAAAGAATTTAAAAGTCAAGATCATATTGTATTAACATTTTTTCCAAATATGCACCCCATACTGGAATATATCCAAAAGTTGGAAGTTTCTTTCATTTAACCATCTGCCTTGACTAAGACAGATGAAATATATGGACTCAAGTATTGAGCCAGTCCCCTCAGAGCCAGTCCATACTGGGCAAGCACACAGAGTGTCTTTATTAGGCCATCTGCTGTTCATTCCCTTTTCAAAAAGATTAACGTAGTACACAATGCAGTGCTGGAGTTAGTTTAGTCCAATCAATCATAGTTAAACTTCAAAGTACTATGCCCTTTCTAAGTTGTTCATAATAATTTTGGAGCTAAACTTTTAGAATTGTACAAGTGACAAATAGATTTAGGTTGCTAATTATTTTTTGAAATATGATATATTTCCATATCCAAATACTGTTAAGTACCCTTGTGATCTACTGCATCATAAACAGGCAGAATCTAATATATTTAAAATGCTATTTTGCCTGTAAGGGCAGCCTATGAAAAGCATATTTCCAGTTTCATAGCAATTGTACAGTAATCACATTTTCATGAATATTCTTAGTCAATTTTGGAAGTTATCAAATATGATCAGAAGTGTTACATCTAATCAGTTTCAGGAGCCAAACTTTAAATGATTTCTTTATATAGAGTTGGAAACAAATTGACCAATCAACAATTAATTTTCTAAAAACTTGAAAGAATATTAAAACTTTCAAATAACTTCAATGAGAACAGACTTTGTACTATCTCATGTACTATATCTAACTATACATTTTATAATAATAGTATTATTCCACAGGAAATGCAGTCTAGCTTAGTAATTCACAATAGTGAGCACTTTGTTTAGTAGATACACAGTTTAAAGAGGCTTAATTCCAGATTGCTTTATATTTTTTTGTAATGAAACTTCATTTTGGTAAACTGAAGACTTGGGCTCTAAATACTAATTGGTTTTTCTTAAGATGGAAAAATAGAAGACTTCTCCAAAAAGACATTAAACCGAAAGCAACATCCACTTGAGCAGATTTCATTAAATAAAACAAAGAGCAAGATCCTGTATTTCAGAAAAATCCCATACGCAAGCACATAATGCTGAATATGTAGGATTTTTTTCCTCCAATGACTAATCTAGAGGGCTGGGATTTAGCTCAGTGGTTCCACAGCCTGCCTCGCAAACACAAGGACCAGAGTTTGATCCCTGGTACCAAAAAAAAAAAGATCTAGATAGACATCATTAAAATAAAGTACCCACAATACTGTAATGGATCATCTAGCTTGTGAATTTTCATATTAATATCTATTTGTTCATCATCTAAGTGAAAGACAAAACCTTTGTCTCGGAAAACTAAGTCACATGAGAAAAATTAGAGAGTTTATGCTTTGTCACTAAAACGTATACATTTTACTCTAACTCATAAATTTGCAGATAACTAAAAACAAGGGAAAAATGAATTAAATGTAAGTTGTAATTACGCTTACAAAGGCAAAGTAATCTCCAAATCAATGTGGGGGTTATAGTGTACAAATGTGAAAGACCTTTGTTGTATTCCTCACTGTCATTTAATTAATTATAGACACTACCCCAAACCACTCATCAAACTCTACAATTTCTCGAAAAAAAGGAGGCAGAAGTGTTAATCTTCAAAATATCCTCAAAAATAATTTTAAAAAATTAAATCTATATTATCAGTTTCCCAGACAACGGTGTTCAGCAATTTTAAGGTTTTATTCTTAATGTCTCTTATTACTATGACAATTTAGATCAGTGATTCCCAATGGGATTGGAACTGGAGGAATTTTGTTTACCAGGAGATATTTAAAATATCTGGCAACATTTGGGGTGTCACAAATGGGGGTGCTAAGAGCATCTGAGATAGAGGCAGGCATGCTGTTGAACATCTTACAATGCAGATTGCAAGAATATAACTCCCTCGCAATAAAGAATTAGTCCAAAACTGTAATAATGCTGCTTTTGAGAGACTCAGCCTAGCACTGCTGTCGAACATGACTTTCCCTGACACTGACATGCTCTATGTCTGAGTGATCCGGTGCAGTAGCCACTCACTACAGGCAGCAATTATACACATGCAATGTGTTTAGTCTGACCAGAAATAAAATGCTTTGTTTTATCATACGTTAATGCATTTAAATCTACTAGCTACATATGGCAAGTGGCTACTTTACTGGACTACACGGCCCTAGAAAGTTCTTAAAACTGGGAAAATATCTACAAAGATACTATGAAGGGTTTCAAATAAGATAACCATTCACACCCATTTCTTCATATTTTCCCATGGAGTATCAGAGAAAAGGCCCAGGGCTGATTACCCACAATGGCTCTGGACCCACTTCTACCACAGACCAGCTATGAGGCCTTGGCTCTGGGCCCATGGCCACCTTCGACTTTTCTGCACACCTGGGTATTCCTGTCTATAAAATGGATCGGCGAGCTCTGAAATTCTGGAGCTAACACTGTAGTTTTGCCATGCAGCTTTTAATAGGTTTGTGTACTCTTGACATATGACAGCAATTACTTCGCCATTCCATTCTTTTAAAAGAACTTATTCATATACTTTCACTTTGCAGACAATTTGCAAGAGTTGTGATACGTGAGCAATACAGAATAAAAAGTAAGTTGCTTTTCATGTATCTGCCAGGAGGCCTGTGAACTGCTAGGGAGGATGTGGATTAGCCCGTATAAGTCATTAAATGAGGCTTATGTACTATTACTTATTTCTATTTGGAGTACTAACAATATGTGAATGTTTAACAACTGCTTCCAGCTGGTGTAAACAAATAAAACTGGATCATTTGTATCCAAAATATAAAGAAAGTTATATAATGACATTAACCTCAAAGACATAGTTCAAGTCTTTCTACATAAAGCATAACCACCTAAAATCCTTGTACATAAGAACAGGGACAAGTCAGTGTAAAGTATATTAAAGCAGACTAACAGAATCAAGGTTTAATTGCCATAAATAGTTTTCTGTTTACTGGTTTAACGTTCATCTTTCTGAAAGAACACAACATTCCTTCTCAAGTTAAAGAATCCTCTTACCAGATAATAATCCAAACAAAATACTATAATTTAACAAAACGTCTTCACTTAGGTCAACTAAATTCATGTTCTTTGTACCCAGCTGGGAGCTACCAGGTATTTATAATTAAAAAGGATTGGTGCTTAAAGTCACACTGTTGTTCTCTGAAGTGTGGACCGCTCTCAGAAGCAGGGTTCTAACGCAATCAGCATGTGTTCTCCGGCAGCCCATTAACCTTTCATACTTGTCACTCAGCTGCTTACACAGGAGGAGTTTTTAAACCCAAAGAGGAAACAAGGTTATTTAGAAAGAATCAAACGTATAGTTTCACATCTTTGATGATAGACAGAAGGTGATTTTTAATGTCTTTTAAATGGGCGAGTGGAAGGAACAAAGTTGACTATTCTGACCTAATTATTAAGTTAATTAAACACGGCACAAAGGAATGACGAAGCCAGCTCTGGTTGTCTTTAGTGACAAAGTCATGGGATTGATTCACCATCAACTGAAAATTAGCCCAAACCATTCCAAACATGATTTCTAAAAATACATAATTTTAAAACAATTTGGTCTCCAAAAGAAGTGAATTAATTGATGATTTTGTAAAGGGGAGAGTTCTAATTGCTTTGATGTCTATGCTGCTATTCCCAAGGAGGAAGATGAGCACGTACCCACATGTCTATGGAATGACACACGAGCTAAAGGCTTTACCTGACCCAGTAAAAGTGTCAAGCGCTCCATCTCCAGTCGTGGTTGTGGTTTCACTGCTGTTCAAAGGCTCTGTTTTGACTGCAAGAAGAGACACTATGTAGAAGAATAAGGACATGTGAGTTTTACTTCTAAATTTATATCAAATACCCTGACTGTTCTACTAGTGATTTTGCTGGCTTACAGGGCATGCAAGAGAAAACTTGAGAAGCCAATGAGGAAAGTTTTGTTAACTTAGTTTCTAAGTGGGCATGCATTTATAAAGGATTTTTCCTAAAATCCTCTGGCTGAGCTAGTTCTCTGAGTCTAGCTTTTAATGGCAGTCAAGCTTAAAAAGTGAAACAGCAGTTCTCTATTTGTATTTTAACCCAGGTCAGCACGCTCTGATACAGTCAATAGACAGAAAAGAGGAATCAGCACATTTAATCCAAATCATAACAAAGAGATTTACCAGATTATATTTTATGCTTTCCAAAAGATATTTTTAAAAGACGATTGCATTAAAGTACAGTGGAGGCATATGCAAATACAGAAACCATGAACTTACTCATGTGATGGGTGAAAGATAAGCCCTCAGTAAATTTGCTGCTATAAAGAAGACCAAGAGGCCTTAAAGCATTAGACTTTTAATTTTAACAGTGTACTAATTTTTAACATGTAATACAGAGAAACGTAAACTGAGAGATGACTTTTACAGCAAGTACATGGTCTGAAAACTTCTGTTATTTCTATTTCCACGTGGTGTCTTTTGGCCAAACTCTCACTTGGCCATGAAATATAGCCTGACACACATTCTTGTCATTAGATGCAGAGTGGGCACAGTGATAAAGCCTCTACCCATTTGTTCACACCATATTTTCCCTGTGTTGGCAAAGCTCTAGTCCGTGTATCACAGCACTAAGGGAATAAAGTAAACTGTTTTCTACTTAACACCTCTTGTGTTTACTAGTCATCAGTGGAACGGTACAGTTAAATAACTTAGAAGCAAGCAGAAGACTATAAAAAAGACAGCTGAAGACTAGCCAACTAGGATTGAATATGCCAAAAAGGAACAGTGGGGTCATGCAGTACCCACCAAACAATCAAGCCAGTACTGTTACTTGGTTAGCAAAGTACTAATTGATGATTCTAATCCTTCCACATGAAGAGAATTAACCAGACCCTCAGTGAGCTCTGGGTCAATTTGGTATCTGTGATTTAATAATAAATGACTTGCTGAAAGATTCAGAGTTGAACTGTAAAGGCTGGAAAGAGGAAATTAAATGCTGGATTACTTATCTTAGCAAAAGCGAAATTTAAGGTTGACCTTTTAATAACAATAACAATCAGAAATGAATCTAACATTTTGTGTCAGGAAAACTAAGGAAATCGAGGGCTGGGGATTTAGCTGAGTGCTGCCACCTGCCTTGCAAGCTCAAAGACGGGAGTTTGGTCCCTGGTACCAAGAAAAGAAAAGGCGGGGTGGGGGTGGATAGGCGGCTACTAGTATCCTGTAATAATCTGCACCATCGTTCACATGACAGCTATGCTTGATTGACAGCTGTACATACCATTACAAAATTATTTCGCACTACAAAGTAATTTGAGGGCTCACTATGTGCTAGACCATGAACATTCAGTTAGAAAGTCTCATGGGAACAAATCACTCTGTATATTTTATACAGAAGGAAACTGAAGTTTGGGTGAGCCAAGGCATCTGTGTAAATTCTAATGTAGAAGACTGTAGAGCAAATATTTGAACTCAGATCTTTAATTTTAACATATGCAATCTTTCTTCCATAATGGGCCACTTCAGGTATGAAAATGGCTTCTGCTCCTGGCAGCAGCTCTTCACAAAGGCCGAGAGAAAGAAAGAATGAGAGGTTATCTTCCACACAAAATCAAGCATATTTTATTAAAGATGGAAACTGTAAGCTATTAGAATAGAATACTAAGGCATGTGCTCCATTGCGTCCTCTTGCAATATTTTATAACACAAAAAGAAGCAGTAGGTTTAAAAGTAGAGAAAAACAGTGCCCAATCACAAGGTGCTTAATACATTCCTGACACTCTTCCCGAGATTTGTAAGTATTAATTCATTCACTCCCGTGACAGTCAGTACACAATATTATCATCTTCACATTTCAGCAGAGGCAACTGATGGGCAGAAAGATAAATAACTTTCGCAAGTATTTAGTTTTTCTTGATACTATTGTGACTGTCCTCCTACGTATAGTGTTCTGAATTTCTCAGTGAGTTTATCACTGGTATACAGGAATGTTACTGATTTTTATGAGTTGATTTTGTATCCTGCTACATTGCTGAATCTGGTTATTGGTTTTAGGAATCTTTTGGTGGAATTTTTTTGCACTTCTATGTAGAAGATTGTGTCACTTGCAAATAATAATAATTTGCCTTCTTCCTTTCCTGTATCTATCCCTTTTATTTCTTTCTCTTGTCGGATTGTTCTGACTGTTTTGCATTCTATATTGATCAGAATTGGTGAGACAAAAATGTTAAGTAAAATAATTAGACACATGAGTTTAAATACTGAATAGTTTTTCTTATATAAAAAGAGCAAAATAAAAGAGATCATAGATGACAAGGAGATGGATCTTTTGCAAAAGGGAAGGGGATCAAGAGATGGAGGGAGGGGGAGAGAAGAGGAAGAAAAGGGGATGAAAAAAGAATTAAGATGAGTTATGTACAAGTACCAACTCCCCACAGTGAATGTATTCCTTGTGTACTACAAACATGGGCTAATTAAAATAGAAATTAAAAAAACGACTTGGCTATAGTCACACTCCTGAAAAGAGCTAGGATTTGAAAGCAGGTGGTACATTTGCAGAATCCAGTCTCGGATGACTGCCATTAGATAGCACCAAGTCGCTAAGAATTCCTCTAATCTGTTTAAAGAAATTCCAGAGAATGACCTAGAGGTGTGCAAAGGCTACACTCTGTGATGCACTATCTACATTTTACTTCTGAGGCCAATGCCTTCAGCCAGATTAAGACAAGAGATAGTTCCTTTAAATTCTAACTGTGGCTAAATTCCTAGAGCTACATAAATGACACTTGTGATTTGTTATGCTACTAAAAATAGCAGATCTTGCTCTTGAATTGAAGTAATGGCAGAATGTGAGTTGAGAGAGAACAAAACAGTCCTAGAATACTAGTCCTAGAATACTAGAATACTAGTCCTAGAAGCCTGGCATAGATATTTGTGTTGTTCCTCTTGATTTCAACTTTGAGACTAGATTTAAAGATCTCAGTGTTGCTTGTGACCATAATCTCTTGGATTTGAAAGTTCCAGGTCATGACAAGAGTGGAAGAGGTTTTGATCCTACTCATTATACTGGTAACATCTGTCATTACAAAAATTAATGGTCTGCATGTAGTGAAAGAAAAAGGTAATTCATTTATTGAGAAAAGGAATCCCTAGAGGGCATATGGTGAGATCCACCCTGGGAATGCACGTCCAGTGTACTGAAATGCATGGATTTTATAGCAGCAGGTTACTAAAAACTGAGGCTAACATTTGGGAAAAATGGTGCACATTAATGTAATATTATTTTTCCTATGTTGGTAAGGGTAGAACAGAAAGAAAGGGGAATATAATTCAATAATACCAGCACAGTAAATAAAATTTCATATTAAGAAAGCATGACCAACATCTCTTGACCACCAAAGTTTCAAAGTTATTTTAGTTTTACTTTTTAAAGAAAAGTAATTTTAGGTAATAATATATAATTTTTCTGGATATGGTGGCACATGCATGTGATTTTAGCATTTTGGGAGGCTGAGGCAGGAGGATGGGCAATTTAGCAGGATCCTGTCTCAAATAAAAAAGAAAAAGAACTGGAGATGTAGCTCACTTCAAGTCCCACTATCAGAAAAAAAAAAAAAATTAAAACTTTGTTTAAATGTTAGAAAATTCAGAAATTAAATCAATAGTCTTGATGCTATTATTAACAAGATGTTAGAATACAAAGAAGTGGCATATTGATATTAATAAATAGGTTGCTAATATGAAATATACATTATATAATAAGTATAGATGAAGTTGTAAAATGGAAATAACTTTCACTAACATCCCAAATATGTTTGAAGTGTCTTTTATTTTCTTGTGCTTTATATTGTTTTTGTGATTTGAGAAATATACTATTGACCCTTCTAACGACAGAAGACTTTTTTATTATATATGCAAGGCACAACCGGGGAGATATTCATTAAGGAGACAAGTCTATGCTTTTACCTATTTTTTTAACCTTGTAATACTCCTCATTCAATGTGTATGCACTGAAATGTTTAATTATATTTTAACCTATATCCAGCTTTTCTCAAGTTCACATAGGGCTTAAGCAGGTTTTTAAAATTTATTTTCAGGACAGTATACAAAATCACAACATACTATAAAATACAGGCCAAAACCTTGTATGGGAGAAAAGCACTGCGTTTTTCAAGAAAATTCAAATTCACATATTAAAAGCTTTTATTTCAAAACAACCATAATTTGAAAAGTTTGAGGCTTTATTCTCCACCTATTCAAAATAAGTGAGTCAAGGTTCATTTCCTTAAAAGAGGAAGAAAAAAAAAAACTTCACAGCACTATGTACAGAGCTGTTATGCTGAAAAATATGTGCGTATTTTATATTTCCTCCTGACAAGTTATCTACTTGCAACTTGGCTGCTTTCCATAGAGATAAACAGCAAATATATAAAGATACATATACATATAAATTACATATATGCATTATATGTATATATATATATATATTTTTAAAAACCATACTTGGTCAGATTTTGCATTTTTAGCTTTAAAGATAAGTGGTATCTATAGTTTAAATCCTATCACAAATCCTTTGTGATTATCATCAGGTGTTGTTTAGGCTATAGAATCATCTTTGTTCCTACTCCTATACATGCATTTTCAAACAAACTTTATATTATCTCCTTATATTATCTTTAAAACCATTAAAGAAAGTCCATTTTATTATCATAATTCACATCATCATATTCATTTCTTGCAATATCAGGCTGAATCCTTGAAAAGTGACCCAAGCAATTTACATTTTGCATTCCAGGAATCTGTGTTAACACATGTATACATTTACAGATATAGATAGATATAAATATATTGATATTAGCTTCTGCAAACAGTTTAAGAAAAGCTAGAGAAAGAGGTTACAATTTATAACACTACAGAGAATACTTAAGCACTACTCACTAGATTTAATAATCAGTATAACCTCTTATTTATGTGTGAGTGAAAAAAACCTATAAATGCCTATGAGTGTCTTTCATTCCTAAATCTCCATAAAGGATTCAATTTTATGAAATACCTTGATAAAACAATTTATGATTTTCATTCTGAAAAAAATCTAAAAAGTGTAGAGTCATTGTATTAGGTTGTCCTATTGCACAAATAACATTCAGAAATAAATTCATTACACTTGAGTCAATCACCTGTATGTTAAAATTATGTGAGATTTTAAGCTTAAAAAATGAACACAGCTGATTTCAATGTCTGATTTTTAGTTCTCTGAAATCCTTCATTCAAATTTTCTTCTTACTCTCTATGGGGAATCAAATACTGCCTCCCTTGGCCTTATTCACCTGGAGCTCCTTATTTCACATCTGTTGTCCTTTGGACTTGTGGTTTCTGGATAGCTAATAACCTGTTCTTTCGATTACTGGGCTCCCATTTCCTACCACAGAGCCTAACCTATCATTCTAATAAGTGAGAAAGTGAGGACTCACTAAAAGAGAACTTGTCCTAAGCACGCCCAATAGATCTAAATAGTTTCATATACAAAGTATAGTTCAGCAGGATGCCAGAATCTAGAATTGCCCTTAGTTGGTAGGAGAAGTTCTGTAACTGGTACGCATTCTTATCTGTACATCTTTCATGCACATGTATGTAAATCCTTATAGGGGGCTGAGGCAAATTTGACCCATGCCCTGTTTTGATAGGATCCATGAACTAAGAATAATTTTTCTTTTTGAGTGGCCGAAAATACCAAAAGAAGAATGATATTTTATAATTTTGGGAAAATTTCACAAAATTACAATTTCATTGTTGATAAATCAAGTGAATTTGAGCACAACTGGGCTTATTTGTTTAAGCATTGCTCATGGCTGCTTTTGGTCACAACTGCAGACTGAGCAGTCAGAAGAGTCAACCGCAGCCAGCAAAACCTAACAACTGAATCATTTATTTGTTAAGGTGTTACTGCTCTTCTTCTATTTTTCATGTTTTACATTTATATAAATTTATAAATGTTAAAAATTTGAAAAAAAAACTTGATTCCAGTATTAATCTCCAAGTATAATTATATAGTTAGAATTAAGGTGATAAAATCTGTTAAATTACTTTAAGAAATCATGCACCGTACTTAAGCAACACCAATGAAACAAGGCAGGATCTTAAAGTGATACTATTTATATTAATGAAATATATAATTAAAATTATTCTTAAAGTTAACAGAAAGATATTCAAGAGCCATTCATTAATTTTAGCATTTGCCTTCTGTTTTATTGCAACAATTTTACAAAGTGATCTGATTCTAACAATAAAACCCAGAATTAAAAATAAAATAATTCATTCTCAAAAGGAGAGCATATACAGCAAATGTTGAGTCTGTGATACAATATTTGCCATAAAAGTCATTGAAATTCCTTAAGCTTTTCATGTCAGTATGCCACCAGTATTATATCACTAATAATCACAGTATGGCTAACATTTTGGTACCAAGGAGTTCGACTTTGGTCCAGGGTACACATGTCTAAATGCAAAGTAATTTATTACTTGACCAAACATTGGAGTCTTTTAAACAGTTCATGCTTTTATTTTCCTTAAAACTTGCTGCTAAATTATTATGAAAATATTAATATCAGGAAGAAAAAAAATATACTGGTACCTAGAGCCAAGAAATCTGTATACATCATCTAATGACAAAAAGTCTTGCTAGAAACTGTGATCTAACTTTTATTGAAAGGGACTGAAGTTCAGAGAGGCCAATAACCTATTCAGGCTGACACAGGCAGTGAGTTTACTACCAAGGTCCAGATCTGTGCAGCCCCTGGCACACAAGTCTTTGTCCTCCCACATGGGCATGTGAGACATAACCTTAATCTTGAGAACCAGGAAAATTTAACACTTCACATTTCAGATGAGACATAAATTACTATATTACTTGTTTCTCTTCACTACTGTACCACTGCCTGGTTTACACTAACACCGCTTTGGAACAGACAGCTCATGAGCTATTAATGATTTTTATATTTTAACTGTTTGAAAAATCAGCAAACTTAGAATGTTTAGTGACATGGAGGAAGTAAATAAAATTTAAGTTTCAAGGTCCTTCAGTAAAGTTTTATTGGAAAATAGTCATGCTTATTCATTCCTATACAATGTATGGCTGTTTTTGCATTACAATGTTGCAGCTAAGCATTTGAAAACAATGCTATAGCCTACAAAACCAAACCTAATTACCTGGCTCTTCACCAAAAAACACACTCCTGAATTAAGAAAAACAGAATTCTGGCAAAGCATTTTTAAGTATGAAAATTACATTTCAAGTATGAAAATGAAAGTATTTGAAATAAAAACTAAACAATATAAATGCTGAATATAAGGGAGCACTCTTTATTCATTGGTCATATTTTCTAATTTAACCTGAGATAGAGCAAGTTTTTGCCAAGTTGTGCTTTTTCAACCTGTTTGCCTGACAAGCACATTTAAATTTTTTTTATTGTAATATAATTCAAGTGGGTATTAGTAAAGAAAATATAAAAGCCGTTCTATGAAAACATAACTTTGCATAACAAAAATGATTAGAGAATAACATTGGTAAATATACTGTTCACATTTGCAATAGGCATGAGCTTTTTTTTAAATCCTAAAACTGGTGGTTCTGCAGTAATATAATGGTTTTGTTTTAATTTTCAAATTTTAATACCATATTGACATTTGATGTAGGAGAAAATGTGTTTATGAATTTGTTTATAAATATGATGAGTATTTATAGATGAAAACATTTTAAGAGTTTTAGTATTCATCTATAATTTTAAATGCATAGTTTTCATCACTGTGAATTTTTAAAGTGATGGGATATTGATTATTAATGTTAGTTTAGGTGCTTTGGCATGGTTATAAAAGTCTGTACAAAGGCAAATATCTTTGGTGAAATTTAATTTAAATTATAAATGACTATGGGTTACTAGATAATTGAGTTGATACACACTTTATGCTTACATTGCTTCTACTGCTCCTATTGGCATGGCTGTTACTGGGCTGAAGCACACATTGAACTGATAAGCAGTTAGAAGCTAATATACAATTTTACTAATTCATGATAAAACTAATACTATTTTGTGAAATAATTTTAAAAATTAAGAAAAGAATAGTACTGATCTAAGGAGAGTAAGATTAGAATAGCAATTGATAAGAAAACCGCAGCCAAGGGTTATCCATACACAACTGTAAGGCACATTCGTGTCTTTATCTTTATAAATACTGAACACAGAGAAGAGGTGCGAACAGAGAAACAGCAACAGACAGCACACCAGAGGGGCAAACCCACACACCCAAACACATGCAGTGTACCATTCTCTCTCATACTTGTTGCAGAAGAGGGGGTGTTGCAACTCAGCAACCAGTCTGCTGTATTTAAAACAGTCATGTTGTCCCCTGAGAACAGGAATGGTATAAGAGTTCATCATCTGAATGCCTGCTGTGTGTACACGAGGAATCTTTAATGCCTGCCTCGGTTTCTGAGGTTCCAGCAAAATTACAACTGCACTGCGTGGCCTCTACATTTTATTTACCAGGTCTGTTTTAGTTCAGCCAAATACATGTACACAATCATTCGTGAACTCAAGGTCCGATGCTGAGCACTTGGGTGGCTCCATCTTACTATCTAGACTCGGTTTAAAGTTTCCATGTAAATGTTCTTATTCCAGCAGTCATTACTAAATATTCTTACACATTTGTAACCTCAGAATTAATTAGCTGAAATTATAGATGCATATTTAGAGACAAATAAATATTATAGCAAGGAGAATGTTAATTTACAAAGGGTTTGCTGTAAAACATTAAATACAGGTAAGTTGCAATGCACACAACTTGACAAAGAAAATTTTAGACTGCACAGTTATTCTATTTTAAATGGGAAGAGGTGTATAAATTTCATAGATATTTAGTTAAAATTTAAAAGAAAATATGATGTGGCAAATGCTAATATCCAGTCAAGTGAAGAGTTTATAATGAAAAACAAATTTCAAGCAAATGTTACTTTAATTGACTAGATTAAATCTAGGAAATTTCAAAATGGTTTTGAATAATTTAAAATGCAACTTATACATTGTACATGTGTGTAAATATATACACTGGCCTTGTATACACATAGCTAACAGAATTAGATCACATATTCTCACAAGCTGAGTGGATTATATAGAAACAATACAGCTGAATATCTGAAATAATAGCTGTTAGGGTTGCCATATGTTATGGTGCAAATATAGTCTAATGAATAAAAAAAGAAAATGCAATCCTCTTTAAAATAAACACTAGGCATTATGGTATTATTCTCTTTGAAAAGAAAATGCAGCAGATATGATTATTTTTGTACTTCAAAAACCATTTTTAAAATAACAATTTCTATGAAAAATACGGGACTAACTTCTTTTTACCACCCAAAATAAATCTAAAAAGTGGTACAAGTGCAAAAATACAGAAAAGAAAAACTTTCCATAGGCCCTCAAAATGTTGCTTTAGACTGTCTATTCTTTCTGAATGTTTCCAGTTACAGAGGAAGAATACAGATTTCAAGAAAGCAATAGAAAAAGAAATACTATCCTATATTATATATTCTTATTATTTAATGCTGACTATAGTATTGATAAAAATGATACTTATTTCTTAGCTGATCTCTAAGATGTCAGATTAAAATGCACACTGAGCTGCGACTCTGGGTATCTCTGGAGTGACACACTTACCTCCTGTCCCGTTTGTAGTGACTGATGTGCTGCTGAGATTAGGTTTATCCAGTTTGGAGCTACCAGGAGTATCACTACCTCCGACAAGAGCATGAGGACTTGCCAGGTCCTGCATTTCCATAGACCTGTCAGAGGAAAATTTAGCAGATCAAAGTTGAAATTTCTGCAATTACACCTTAATAAATTACATGTGGTATCCTACTGAGCACAGAGGAGATATCACAATAAGAACTGAAACGAGTAGCTAAAATTTCTTAGTTCACTGGTGAATGTGGTGGTCCATTGAACATCAACAAAATGATGGAAAAAGTGATGAATAAATATGGAAAGCTTACAGAGTAAGTCTGGCATCATAGTTTGGGTATTATTTGTAATCCTACAACTTTCCATATACTAATGTAAGGGGAAAAGCAGACTGCCATCTTGGCACTTTAAGCAGACATGGGCACCCTGTTCTCTTAAACTTATCACTTCTGCTATACAGAGAAATACTGAAAATGTTTAACTCCCATAACTTGGCATCCCCTGCATCCATCGAGGAAAGAAATCACTAGCAAAAAGCAAACTGTGAATTCAAACCAAGAGGAGAAGCTTCTAGCTGACCTTGATGACCCAGGTGGCTGCAAGTGAGCACAAGGCCAAGAATTAGAGTTATACTATATTTAATATCCACTGAAGATTAGGAAGGAGGCTTGGACAAGGGTTTATTCCCGACAGTGCACAAGGATTGACACGCTAAAATCCTGGGGTTCTGGAAGGGACGACCCTTTTCTGAAAAGGAAAGTAAAAAAAGAAGAATATTTTCATCTGCCCAAAGAAGTTGCACATACTTTCAGGAGAGAAAAGAAACATCTAAAATAAACAAAAGTTAGGAATATTTGTCACCAATGACTTGAACAACAAGGTATGCTATGGAGGAAAGATTTCAGTTGAAAGAGAATAGCAAATGAAAACTCAGACCTACAGAATTGAATAAAGAGTAAAATAAATACAAACAATGTGTAAGTATCAAAAGATTCTCCTTTATTTCTCTCCTAATTCATGAAAAGAGAGTCAACTGAAGCAAACATAATTACATTGTGAGATTTATAGTATGGCATAGAAGTAAAATAAATGGCAATATTATACCAGAGGATTGTGAAGTAAATTATATTCTCTAAGGTTCTTCCATTTTATATTAGGTGCTGTATTATGCAACCTAAACTTATCTCTTACTCAAATTTAATATAACACAACACTAAATGGAAAAACCATGGAAAATATAACTTTAGAATTTTCATTTTATTTCCGAGTTTATATAGAACATCTATCAATAGGACTATAAGCTGGTCTATAATGCTGATGGACTTAATACTTAAAATTTATAGAATATGGTATCTGACCACACTGAATTAATTTAGATAACAAAGGCAATCACATACATAAAATATATCTCCAATATTTGAAAATTAAAAGCCACAGTTTATACAATCTCTGGGTGACTGAAAAATCCATGAGTAAATGCAAAAACATACTTAGGACCACATCAAATCAAAACTTGTAGTAGGGAAATGAAGTAGTGAGCAGTGAGAAATGTGTTTTAGAAAAGGAGAAAGGCTTAAAAATCTGTGATCTCAGTTTCCACATTAAGAAACTAGAGAGAAAAACAAAGCACAGAGGAAACAATAAAGAGAAGAAATAATTCAAATTCTATGAACAGTACAGCATATTTACAAATCCAGAAGATGATCTTTAAAGATACTAATGATGACAAAAAGATTAAGAATAAGGAAGTATTATGAACTTTATTAAGTCAATGATTTCATTAACATATAAAACCAGTGGATTTCCTGAAAGACACAATTGTAACAGAAAATCTGATGTAGCACTCAAAATATAAAACTCTAGAGTCATATGGTTTCATTAGTGATTGCAGTAAACTTTTAAGGAAAAATAATAATCTTTTCCAAATTTTTTTTTTGTGTTTTCAAGACAGGGCCTGTCTATATAGTTCAGGCTGGCCTCGAATTCCTTATGCATATAGCTCAGGCTGGTCTGGAACACATGGTGATCCTCCTGACTCAGTCTCCCGAGTGCTGGGATTACAGGTGTGCACCACCACACTTGGCTTCCAAATTCAATCAGGTAAATATAGGGGGGAATCTTCTTCACTCCGTTGAAATAGACCAGACTTATTCTGACACTTGGCAAAAACAACTTCAAGAAGAAAATTTTGGATCTATATTCCTTATAAACAAACAAACAAAAAATAAACAAAACATATGTGCTGTGGTTTAGATCTACAATGCTCCCTAAAAATTTCATATTCACATGAGGGATTTATCAGATAACTGGATCATGGGGGCATTATATTTATATGTGGATTAATCCACTGATGAGTTCAGAGCTAAAGGTATTGTTAGAAGGTAGGACCTGGTCAGAACTTGCAGCTTACTAGGTGCATCACCTGGAAGGGTGTCTTCTTTTCCCAGGCTCCTCCCTCCTCTCTCTACTTCCTGGATTCCACAATTTAAACAAATTTCCTCTGCCAACCTCTTCAGCCATGCCATTTATGCATTGGAACTAGTTGCCCATGGGCCAAACTTACTAAAACCATAGTTAAAAGAAACTTCTCTTCTTTTAATTTGCAGGTGTTGAGTCACCTGTCCCAGTGGTGGGAAAACTGACTAACACAGAAAATTGGTACCAAGAGTGGGGTTATGGCCCTGACTGCACCTGACCATGTGGTCCAGAAGCCTTTAAAACTGGTTTGCAGGAGGAGTTTGGAAATGTTTGGAGTTGTTGCTTAGAGTAGCCCTGGAACGCTACAAGCAAAGCCTGATGAATAATTCTGGTTGGAGCTGAAAAGACCAAAATACTAAAAACAATAACAGCAAGTAGCAGGTTTCAGTTGAAAACTCTATTAAACAATGGACAAGAATCCATGTGTGTCACATACTGACAAGTTGTTCATCTTCAGGACTGGGGATTTAGCTCAGTGGTTCTGCTCTCTATCTTCCTTGCAAGCACAAGGTCCCAAGTTCAATCCCTGGCACCAAAATAAAAAGTTCATCTTCATTTTCATTTTTCCATGTTCTGAGACTTTTTGGGAGACTGAGATTAAGGTTAGTGAAGTAATAAATCTGGCAGAATAAAAATTTAAGATAGTTTAAGTCTGTGTAATGGGTACTGCTGGCTACTTTTAATCACATTTATAGTCAAGGACAAAAGGCGGGGCCAAATAATATAAAGCTTGGTCAAAAAGACAGCACCTATAAAATTGGTGGAAAGAGAGTGTGGTCAATAAGAAGATTAACAGTTTTTTTGAAAGCCAATAATTCATATCAGGACAATTAAAAAGATGGTTTAGATGCACCTCAGGAATCAGCAGGACCTTAAATATCACAGGTTCAAGCATGTAAGAGTATAATACTTTCACTTTTAAAAAGAGCACCTTGCCCCAGTGAAAAAAAAGGCCACCTAAAACAATTAATCCCACAGGTTTCATTTCCCTATATTCAACCATCCAGATACTCAAAGTTTACTGTAGCCATGTTTGAAGGGACCCAGCTACTGCTCAAATTAGGGACAGTTCTCGGTGTCATTCATATGATGTTGGTTTGCAAACAAAATGCAAGTGGTATAGGGTCATGGAAGCTTCCACTCAAAATTTTTAAAGGGCCTGTAAGGTCAGGAAATGTGACTCTGAGAGGGCAGTGTGTAAAGCTGAGGCAGTATAGTCAAAGGTACAGCAAAGATCCCAGGATATGCCAGGAATATGGATGGGTTATCTTCTAACAGATAGCAAGTAAAGCCAGTCCAAGAGAGGCCATGTGGGCTGCAGCCAGTAAGGAAATAAAGGCCCTTTGCAACTCACTTCTTCCTATATCCTGCCCTGGGAACTGCACACAAAGCTTTAAAACTTAACTTTGGCTCTACTGGTTTTCAGTCTTGCTTTGGTTTCATTCCTTTCTGTACCTCTTCTTGTGCCATTTAAAATAAATTTGTTTTCCCAATACCACTGAATGTTTAAAGATTTAACTTTTCAATTTTTATGGGGATTCACAGGTAATAGTTCACCCTAAGTCAAGGGGGGGATCTTTAGGCTTGACTTTATTAAAAATGCCAGAACTGTGTTTATATATATATATGCATATAATATATGTATATGTATATGAAGAATAAAGTTAAGATTTGGTCAAACTACATTTTCCCTTTCAAGTACAAAAAATGTTTTCAGGGCTGTGAAAAGTGTACAGTTATTAAGCAAGTTGTAGATAAAGACATATAAAAAATGCTAGAACTATTAAGACTTCAATAGTTCTTAGTGATGGAATAAATATATTTATATAATAAATAAACATGAGACCTTTGTGGGGTCAGGGGCAAAATGTTATGGCTCATATATACAGTGCTCCCCCAAAAGTTTCATATATACAGAGGTAAGAATTAAATAATTACATCATGGTGGCGCTATACTCATCTGCTAATCTGCTAATTACTTCACAGCTAAATGTACCATTAGGAGGTGGGACCTGATCAGAAGAGGCAGGTCACTGGGGCCATCTATGTATGACCTAGGCAGGTGTGTTCCTGTCTCCAGCTCCTCCCTTCTCTCTTTGCTTCTGGGCTGCTGTAATATAAACAGCTCTCCTTTACCAGATACTTCCACCGCACTGTTTTTGCCTTGGACTCAAGGCATGGACCAACCATGGACTAAGCCCTCCAAAGCTATGAGCCAAAATGAACCTGTCTTGCTTTAAATTGGGAATGTTTGGTATTTTGTCCCAGTAACAGTAAAGGTCAACTAATATTATATGCAATTAAATATCAAAATAAATCTAGATATAAGAAGAAAAATATGTCTCAACAAAAGATGCCCCATCCTGGAATGTGAAGTCTAACTAACATTGGGAAATCAATGTAACTCAACATATTAACAGAATATTATTTTCATGGGTGCAAAAATTAGATGACTATATTTACCATTCATTCACTCTATAAACTCTTCAGCGACTTAGAAAAAAGGTACTTTTTACTCATCCGATAAAAATCATTCTTGAAAATCTACAGTTAATTTCATATGCAGTGATGAAATACTGAATTACGGTATTTCAGAGCCAAGACAAAGATATCTGCTTTTTTA